TTACTTTCAAATCGATTCAGCCGAAAACCTCTTTATTCCAACATCTCAACTTACATTTAAGGAATTTGAGATTTTCGCTCAAGATGAAATACTCTCTACCAGTTAACACACATTTCTTCCATTCCGCCTTGACAAACTTAGCAAAATCATCATGTTTAATCCAACAATTAATAAATCTGAACGATTTAGGTCCCCAATCTTTGTTGCAACATTTCAACCAAATGGGATAATAATAGGATATGTCTCTCTTTCCAACCCACTGGCACGAAATATTCCAATAATTCACCATCTTCTCTAAAATTAAGAACTTGTCTAGACGACTCATAGAAATACCTCCACCATTAAATCAAGTAAACATGGCCGATTTTGAGCCTATGCAACCTGGCCCGTTGCACTGGGCCTCCAAAATTGGACAGAGCATCCAAAAAATAGGAGCCTCAAAATCAGGCTGATTATGTTTTATATATGATAAATAATTTAATACATGTATATATTTGTTAGATATTAGTAGATAGTTTTGCTTGCAGCCTAGCGGTACACGTTCGATTCCTTTGGGTTAACATTTTGCCATTATTTTGCTAAAAAATGCCAACGTGTCGTTTGACTGCCTAATGTTACTTCACAAAATATAAAGTTCAAAATATCATGCACCAATAAAAATTTCACTTCTATTTTTTATACGATAAATTTAAATTTATAATGGGCATTTATATTAAGATACTCTTAATAGTTATTTTTTAAAAATACATGTCATAATACTTTGTTTATCTACACTAGTAATTTTTTTCAATTTTTATTTATTTATTTAATTTAGATAATATTTATATATTAAATAAATATATAATATTTACATATTAAATAAATATATAATATTTATATATGAAATAAATATATAAATATTTATCATATTATTATCTTATTTATTGCTAAAATTTTATAATAAATATATAAAGGTATATCATAATATTAGCTTGATTTATTGTTTTTTAATAGGACATATTGTTAAAAAAAAGTAATAAATGAATAGATTAATAAATAAAATTATTATTTAAAACAAACTAAACAATTTAGTTTCAGTTAGTATAGCTATTTATTTATTGGTTAAATATGTTTTTATCCTTATAAATATTTTAATTTTAAATTTTAGTTTCTATTAAAAAATAATATATTTTAGTCCCTATAAAATTATTATGTACGTAGTTGTAGTCTCTCCCGTTAAACTAATGTGTATTTTAAATTATTATTTTATATATATCTTTAGAACGTTATAAAAAATTCTTCAAAACAAAAGAAATTCAAAATATAATTTTTAAGTCGATGTTTTCATTACTTTTATTATTATCTTTTGAAATTTATAAAATTTATATTTAATTCTTCTCATTTTAAAAAATTCTAAAATTTGGTAAAGAAATATTTTATAATATTCTTAACATGCATGAAAAATATTATTCAAAAATTTAAAATTTTAAAGATAATTACACAGTTTTCAAAATTTTAGAAAATAACAGAGATTAAACTGCATACATAAAAAATTTGTAGGGACTAAAATATATTATTTTTTTAATATAGACTAAAAATAAAATTAAAATATTTATAGACACCAAAAACATATTTTATCCTTTATTTATTAACAATTTAGTTTGAGTTAATAAATAAAATTATTATCTGTTTTTAATTAATTTAATTTTCTTCATGCTTGAATCTATATTTTAATGAAATTTTGAGGTCTTTAACACAATAATTTTTTTTAATTTTTTATAGTATTTTATTATGAATGCGTTTTAAAAATTTAAACAGGACCTCTAAAATGTTCGAGACGGCCCTGCAAGTAAACCTTGATCCAATAGAAGGGATGTCAATAAGATCTATATGCAAGGATACCTTTATGAATAATAAAAAGAGCACGGTTAAATTTTATAAAAAAAAAATTGTTTAAGTGGAAGAGAGTTTGTTGGATTAAAAAATATATTTATCAAAGTCTCACATCGGATAGTGAAAAGAAAAAGAATTGAAGTATTAATATAAATAGAAAGAGTTACTTTAAGTTTTCTTCACCACAATAAATCTAGCTCTGTGAGTGGGGTTCGAGTAGTTGTGTGACATGTGAGAGTTTAGAGAGGATTCACAATTTTTCCATCAAAAAGTATAGTTGAAAGGGTTTGCAATATTTCTGTAAAAAAAGTGTTGTTGAGGGTTTGTAATTTTTCCACTAAAAAATTATAGTTGAGGGTTTTCAATTATTTTGTACAAAAATTATAGTTGAGAGGATTTGCATTTTTTCGTTCAAAAATTCTAGTTTGGAGGGTTGTAATTTCCTCCTTTGAAAATTTGCAATTGTTTGAGAGAGTTTTTAATATTGTTCTTGTAAAAACTAGAAGTTGAATAATAAATTTGTGAGTTTTATTTTTGAATTTTTTTTGTTTATTTCTATTCTTTTATGGGTGTGCTTCAACATGCGTGGAAATTTGTTTTTTTGTTGTTTTCCAACAATCAGTATCGTGGTTAAGATTCTGATCAAGGGAGAAAGAAAAAAATAAAAGTTATAATCAGTTAAAAATGAAGAAAAGCAAAAGTTCTAATCAATGGAGAAAAAAGAGTATACAAATGTGGTTAATCATTATAATAATTTTAAACTCTTTAAAGATGAAGATAGTGCCAAAGTCACAACTACAAAAACTATTTTTCACAACTACTGAAGAAGGATTTTATCGCAGTTGGAGGTTTATGCTAACGAATATTGTGATAGTAAGTGTCCTCTTTTCTACCACGTGCTAGTAGCCATAGTAAAAACAATATAGCATACAACATTTTACCACGGTTGTAAGTTTAAATTATCCTGAAATATGGAATGGTCATGGATTCGATACCCAACGATAATATTTTTTTCATTTTAAAATGACACATCAACATTTCATCAAAGTTTTAGCCACTAACTGAGGTGTCATCTTCATCAAGAACTTACCTAGACCTAAATTCATCAAGAACTTTGTACAAAAAAAGAGGAAACCGTATTTTCTCAATCTCAGAGTTTGAGGATTCTTCAAGGGAATTTATGTGTTCTTTGTACGTCCTCATGCATATCTTAATGCATTTAAGTTGACTGATTGTTACTTGATAGTTTGTCAAATTATTGTTCTCACTCTAAAGCTTTTAAGCAAGAGTTTGTGATTGAAGTGTAAACTTCAGTTTTAGTTTGGCTTCGAGTCACTGTAATTGTGATTGAATTATAGATTGTCACTGAGATTTGGGCAGATCTTTTATCACTGCGGTGATTCGAAGTGAGATGACAATTTCTCATATCTAGGAGGTGCTTAGGTAGAAATTGTACTAGAAAAGGATTAAGTGATAAATTATAAACAATTACTGTTTAAGCTTAAAATTAATACTGTTGATAGTAGATTTTCTTCCTGGCTTGATAGCTTTTAGAGTAGGTGAACTGCACCGAACTGGGTTAACAATTCTGTGTTCTATTACCTTCTGCAAATTTAAATTCTGCATAATTTTTATTTTTAGGTAAAAGTTTATGTTCTGTCAGCAGATGTTAGAACATATGTCTCGACATCTTTCTGTTTTTAGCAAGTTTGTTTGTTGTGAGAAGATGTTATAACATTTATCGCGACATTGTGTGTTGTTGAGACATCATTCTTGACTTCTGATATTGCAAATGTCAGAATTCCAATATTGAGTTTATATTTTTTGTGATTCTTTGTACACCTCTCATCCTATTTCGCCGAGTTGAGTTTATTATTGTTTACTTCACTAGTCCTTCTTTGAACATATAACCTATTAAATTAATTTTGGAAATGATCATATAAAAAATATGTTGTATTTGAAATATATTTTACACTAATTAATATTTTTCTACTATCATGCAATTCATCATTCATCTCTTGTTCTTTTATAGTTAAAATCTCTCCAATACTTCTACTTTTCGTTTAAATTTCTTTCATACTTGTTCATTTTTCAAAGTATCAAATTTTATGCTTTCAAAAATGAATTAGTAAAAAAGAAAATATTGAAATAAGCAATTCACATTAGATTTAAAAAACTCAATAGTGTTTTACCCGTCAATTTTATGATAAAATCGAGGTGAAAGATATTATACCCGTCGATGAAATGTCAAAAATAAGGGAAGTGTGTTTTCTCCATTTAAGATATCCAAAAAGATCTCCCTGAAGTTCAAAATTATGACCTTTACACATTACCTATCAGTTATTTTGGAAGAATAGATAAAAAGGCGCACTTTCATGCCCTATATTACCTCGCTTGGGAAATCGAGTCAAGACCAAATGTTGACTTCTTTTGAAGAAATTTAGCCCTAAAGTTTTCAATACTTATAATGAAATCTATCCATCACTTTTTATTTATTTATAATTTTCATCTTCTCATAGTAATTCTCATAGTAATAATAATTCAAAGTCCTTTGACTCTATTTGATAATAAATAAAAAAGTCCTTTGACACAAGAGAAAGTTAAAGGATTTATTAATAGAAAATTTATAGAGTTGATTGACTAAAAAAGAATTCGAGGAGCCAAAACTGCATATCTAGTCTAAGTTAGGAAAATAAAAAATGTAACTAAATATAATTTCTTTTTTAATGTAGTTACGTAATCCTCACAAAATAAAATACAATATTTGACTTCCAAAAAAGCATGTACATTTTGGATTCTTGCTCCTTAACAGATTACAGAATAATTAAAAACAACATGCGGAAGAATCTACATGTCTAGACACGATTTAAGAAAAAACAAAGAACTTTGTTTGTAGCTATCCTTTGACACGACGTTTGGCACATGCAATGCAAAGTTCATAAGTATGGGGAAAGGAACAAACAATAAGGTTGTTGTTGTTATCCTTCGTAGCTAAAATACAAGGAAGCAACAAAAGGGTATGGGACATGGAGAAAATGTTAACGCTATTTTATTCAGCAGTAATAGACAAGAAAGTTAACAGGCTGTGATAGCTTGCAATTGCAACCACTGAATATCAAAAGCAAAAACTATGAGCAAGTTGACAGAAACACATCATCTTCCTGTTTTATATTTCCTGCTTGGATTATCTCACACTTCAGCAAACACAATGAATACAGTACTAAGTTCTACAGACTAATAGAGTTGAGGCAAGATTTTGAAAAACTTACCCCAAAAATCTAAAATAATAAAGAAGCTTCTTTGTTGAATGAAGAGTGCACACAAATTTAAAAAAGATTTGTTTAGTAAACAGAGCCGAAGCAGCCGTTTCATTTTCGCCATTATCGACACAATTTGAAGATATACAGAGGAGCAGACAGATGGAGCAGATGAGAAGTCGCTTTCCTGCTCATCTTTCGTACAATGCATGATTCTAACAACCCTATGTTTCAGACTCTGACTCATGCACCAATGCTTTATTTTACTGCTACGGTTGAGGATGAAGCATTAATAACAGACGATGATGGGATACCGCAATGTCTTTGGTTTGGCGGTAGTGAAGGATTGGAAGACGCCTCCTGCCGGCGGGACTGACTTCTCATTTTCTTATTTTCTCCTTCCTGAATCTTGTCTAATGAAACTTGTCCAACCTTTGTTTCATTTAGGCTGGTTGGAAGCACGCAGTTGCATAGAAAACCTTCAAATTGAGAAGCAGAACTCAACATTAGCAATAGAACATTTGAAGCAGTCAATGTAATATAAACAAGTACTAGAACATATTATAAGACAATATGCTATGTTTTGAAGGAAAATAGCATAGGAGATAAAGGCAACAATGGCCAATCACACCCCACCATAGACATGTTACTCTAAGCTCGACTTCCAATCACCCGAGACCATCCCTAAATACAGGATATAATGACAGTTTAAACTCTCTTGCAATGGCAAATATTTAGGAAAGGATCGGACATATAGTTTGTAACACATTTACGTAAGGCTAATTCCACAACTTAAACTTGTGACCACGTAATCACATATCAACAACTCCGGCCATTACAGCAAAGATCCATTCCCTTTCACCTACACTACCACTGCCCTAACCAAAATTTGCAACGCCAGCATACCAAATGCCTCTCTCAACCTCAAACTCAAACTATAACCTCCTTAAAATGGGGGGTGGAAGGAGTTTATTTGAAGCATGAAGTAAAAATGCAAGCAGCAAATGCAGCCGCAGAAAATGGAACTTGAAGTTACTAGACATCAACCCCCAACCACCCCCAAATAAAATCCTATTTCTCGTTTCCCATTAAATTAACTGAAAAACATGTAGAAAGTAAAGGGAACCTAAAAAACAAAGATTAATATGAAGCAAAAGATTCAGTATCCGTAGCCATATATACATTTTTCTTTGTTAAATTGGAGGACAAATTCATAAAATCACATATATATAATGAACAGTTGTGAATTTGTGATTGATATCCAACAAGTATCATTAAGATCGTTTCTTACTGAGTCTAAATAATTTAAATTTAAAGGAAAAAGAAGGTTGGTGATGCTGTTTTAAACTATAGTTGTCGGCTTGCACATTAACCCCTAAAAATAACAACCTCCCAAACACCGACAGGAAAGAATCATGATAAAAATCAACATTTCACAACATCATAGCATTTTGCAAATCTTCTAAAAGAGGACAAAAGATAACTACTAAACACTAATCTTTTCACACATCACTTACCAAGTCGAGCAAGTCTATTAACCCACCGCGGAATCGACTTCCCAGTTAATTTCACACAAACATCACTACAGAAATGGTTGCAATTCTTCTGTATAAGATGGTAGCTATTCCCAGCATACTCTTGAGACAGCTTTTCCATAAATCCCCGAACCTCGTTCGGTCCCAGATCCGTCGATCCAATATAAACTGCTTTCCTAAACGTGAATCCTGGACAGTGCCCAGGCTCCACTTCAAAAATTCCAGTAGTCTCACGTTCATGTGCTCCAAATCCATATTCAACCCCATGAACTACAACAACAACAAAAAAAACACAAATTGAATATCCAAATCAATCAAAAATACTATTTTTATATTAATTAAAAATAAAAATTCAAGTAAACCAAGAAAATTTAGCATTATTTAATTTGAATAGACTATTCAAATTCAATTCCACCACCAACTTCTCATAACAAAAAAAAAAAAATCAACTTTTATTACTATCATCATCATTTAGACACGGATCTGAATTAAAAATTGAGATTAAAATCAAAAACTAATATTAAAAATTAAATTCTCAGAAATTAGGGAAAAAAAGAGAAAATTAGGGTTACCTTGAACACCAGAATGATAAACTCCAAGACCGAACCAATAAGCATAACCATTCATTGGGGTTAGATCGTAAACGTTGAGGTAAACCGGAACCGAACCGGATTTTTTCTTCCGCGGCAACGGAACCAAATGACACAGCATTGTGAATACGAAATTACGAAATTCTTCTTGAAAGGGTTTGTTAGGTTTGTTTTATGAGAAAGGGAGAAAGTGAAAATCTAGAGAAAGATCAAGGGTAAAATGGGAAAAGGAAAATAGAAAACCCTTGAAATTCTCTATGATTTTAGAGAGAGCATTTTTTTAACGAAGATAAGATAGATGATGGTGTTTGTTTTGTTTCCTTTGGTTTCGGAACAAGAAGAAGAAGAATCTTGTTGCAGTGTGTGTGTATGTTCTTTTTTTCTACCTTTGGATTTGGGGTTGTATTCTTTATTCTTTATTTTTATTTTTTTGGAAGATGTGGTATTTCGGTAAATGTTTTTTTATAAATGGAATTTAGGTAAATTGATAATATTCCCTTTATGCGCACCGTCACACTAAAATAAACTTGAACTTATTTTGACCAAAATTTATTTATAATCCTTCGTTTCTAAATTAGTTTCAGAACTCTTAACTCAAATAACCCACACTTCTAAGACAATCTAGGACTCCTGTTTCAAAATAACACCATTAGAGGTTATAATATATGTGTAGATTAAAATTTAAAATAAAACATTTATGTAAAAATTTACATAAACTGTTTTTTTAATAAAAAGTAAAATAATTGTAAATTACTTTTACATGTTTTATAAATTATTTTTGTTAAAAATTTATCAAAATTTATGGAGAATTTCTTCATTAAGATTATTATTAATACACAATAATAATGAATGGAAGAATTATGGTTTGACAAAATTAGAGAAGAAGATGATGATTTATGCAGAGCTTCTCTTTGTCTATAATCTGTGAATAATTTTATTCACTTTACAACTGTAAAATTTTGTGAATACTTTATTTGAGTTACAAAAATAGGGATTACTTCTATTTATAATTGAGCTACCTTGCTTCCTAAGCTAAAATTCAAAACTCTAAAAATCTAAAATACTTATTTTAGACCTAAGTCAGAATACTGTGTGAAGCAAACTGTTTCGACACTTCGATATATCATACAACTCGACATACTTTGACACAGACTAAGTCGACACACTCTTATTCTGTCGAGCAACATGCTGCTTTGACACAAGGGATTACAATCTCAACACATCATCTAATTCATTATGTCTAAGTTATCTATATTCATCATAGCTCTTAGTCTTTTGAATACTTCGACATGCACTTCATTCGTCATGATATCCGCAATCTGATTCTCAGTTTTGTAGTGTTCCAAGTTAATCTTCCCTTATGCTACCTGCTCACAAAGATAATAGAACCTCATTTTGATGTGCTTGTTTCGACCATGTGCCATCGGATTCTTCGGCAGAATGATAACTGACATGTTGTCGGTCTTCATGGTAATTGCTCCATGATTCTTCCTTGTAATCTCTTCGACCAAGTTCACCATCCATGTTGCTTGACGTGCACAAAGAGAAGCAGTTATGTACTCTGCTTCACACGACGATAGTGCCACCACTGGATATTTCTCGAACTCCAAGCAACTGGTACACCACCTAGCATAAACATGTAGCATGTAATACCCCAAATTTATAAATTATGATGCTTATATGTTTATTTATGAAATATTAGTGATTTATTATGTTTATTCATGAAATATTTGTGATTTATTGTGGTGATTGGATTATTGGTGGGAATATAAGTTCTTAAGTTAGAATTATTTAGAATAATTAAATAATAGTTTATGTGATTTATTAATAAAATATTGAGACAAATAAATAGTTGGAAAATATAGAAATTTAAGGGGCGATGAGGTAATTACAGGAGTATAAGTGAGGACATATGAGGGAAAACATAGAAAGGATCTAGTGGTACTAGATAAAAAGGGGAAAATAGAGAGAAGTGAGGTCATTCTGTTTTGTACGTGAAAAGTTTAGAGAAAGGAAAAGAGAAGTTAGGGTAATGAGAAAGAAAGAAAGCATTTATCCATGGAGTGTGAGAAGGCAATTCTAGAGAAAATCTAAGGTAAGGGTGGGTAATGGTTGTCAATTAGGAATGATATGAGGGAAGGATAAATGTAGGATTTTGATTCTTGTTGATTATAATAATTATTGATGTAATTGATGAAAATTATTGATATTGATGTTGTATGATTATGTTGCGTTGCATTGTCGATGATAATGATTATGACGCATTATGTCAAACAAGCATATAGACGGTGTTTTTTGGCCATAGACAGCGTTTTAAAGTGCTGCCTAAACCAGCGCTGCTATAAGTAAATGTAGCGCTTTAGATTAATGTAAAAGCGCTGCTATATGTCCCCTTTAGGCATCGCTTTTACTTTAAAAGTGCTTTCTTATGCACCCCTTTAGCAGCACTTTCTCTTTTGAAGCGTTTTCTTATGTACCCCTTTAGCAGCGCTTTCTCTTTAGACAACGTTTTTGGTTATCTTTTAGGCATCGCTTTAGACAGTGTTTTTCTTTAAAAGCGTTGTCTTTCCCCCACTTTAGGCAGCACTTTCCCATTTTAGGCAACGCTTTTCCCCATTTTAGGCAGCACTTTTTCACCATTTTAGACAATGTTTTTCTCATTAAGCAATGTCTAATGTTCACAAAGTTTTTTAAATATTAGACTTATTTTCACTTACAAAAAACGCTGTCCAATATCTACAATAAATTTTCACCAGATTTTCACCATATTTTGCACCAGGTTTTCACCTTATTTTACACCAGATTTGACAGCTTCAATCCAATAAATATGCACTAAATTTGCATATACAAAAAATCTATATATATATAATTGATGATATATACAACAACTTGAAAATTGATGATACAACTTGAAAATTCTAAATTGATGTTTAATCTACATATTACTATCTTTGAGAATTTCTAAAAAAACAACAATGACGTACTTGTTTGCTCTATCTTCTACATCTGCACCTATAACCTGAAACAAAATGAAAAGGTCGAAATTCATACCATGATAAAACAAAACTTTATTTATACTCAAAACT